TCCTAGTTGGCTGGCATTTTTGTTACCTTTCTCCCCGGACCCTTCTATTCAATCTTTGTTATCACTACCATCTTCTGAGAGTGTTGTCACCATCACCACCATCAACACCACCGCTCCTGAATCCTGAAGCTCACTTCGAGGACCCAAGCACAAGGACCATTACCACCACAACCACCGACCACCAACAAACATGGCCACCAGCGCCGACCCTAACGCGAGCAGCAAGAGCTGGGAGCTCTCCCTCTACGAGCTGAACCGCCAGCCGCAGCCGGTGATCACCGACTGCACCGAGATCGCCGTCAGCCCGCGCTCCCTCCACTCCGAGCTGATGTGCCCCATCTGCCTGGACATGCTGAAGACGACGATGACGACGAAGGAGTGCCTGCACCGCTTCTGCCAGGACTGCATCATCACCGCCCTCCGCTCCGGCAACAAGGAGTGCCCCACCTGTCGGAAGAAGCTGGTCTCGAAGCGCAGCCTCCGCCCGGACCCCAACTTCGACGCGTTGATCAGCAAGATCTACCCCAGCCGCGAGGACTACGAGCAGCAGCAGGAGCGGGTGATGGCGAAGGTGAACAAGCACAACTTCCACGCGAACATCGAGGAGACGCTGCGCATGCAGGCCCTGAATCGAGCCCGCGGCGGCAAGAAGCTCGCCGGCGACACTGAAGGTTAGTGTTGTGGAAGGAGGTGAACTGAGGATGATGGTGAACTGTGAGGATAATTTGGGGAGAAGGAAAGGATGAGCCTGTCCTAGCATGAGGGACAGGTGCTAAGGAACAGGCGGGGAACTCAGTGATCCTATCTCTCAGAACTCGGAGCTTTAATCTACTTTTCCTACCTTTTCTATTTCTCTCTCTTATTGTGATCCTTTTGACTACCTCTTTTAACCCATACTTACTCTCTACTTACTCTCTACTTACTCTCTACTTACTCTCTACTTACTTTCTACTTCTTCCTATTTTGCACAAATACTCACCACAACTTTTTGGTCTTCTCCTCTTTCTCCTCTTTGACTAACAACTTTTTTTTCACCTCTTTCTCTTTTTCTCTTTCGTACAATAAAACTCAACCACCTTTTGCGATCTTTTCACCCTTCACGCGCAGAGAGTGCATCAACGGCGGCAGCGGCGGCGACGGCAGCAGCATCAACATCAGCAGCTGCAGTTCATGGAACTAATGGAGGCAGCGGTGGTCGAACTTCAACGTCTTCGAGAAATGGAGGAGGAGGAGTAAGTGGAGGAGGCGGCTCGGAGAATGCCATGTCCGAAGAGGATCTGGAGGAGGGCGGCGGCGGCGGCGGCGGCGGTGGTGGTGACGAGGAGGAGGAGGAGGGCGTGATGGACGACAATGAGTGCTGGGACGAGGAGGAGGCGGAGGAGCAGTCGCTGGGGCAGTCGCCGGCGAACGACGTCGAGCTGGTGATCAAGCCGCTGCCGCACGGCGAGCGAACCGTAAGTAGCGACAGGAATCTTTTCCAGCAAAAAATCCCTCGATTTTCACCCCCAAACTTTCTCCTTTCCCTTTCCACTAGGACCCCTCGCTGAGCACCATTCGCTACCTGAAGACGACGATGCAGGCCACCGTGGACCACATCAGCAAGTACCTCGAGATGCGCTACGACTTTGACCACAATGAAACTAGTGGAGTTGTCAATGGAACGAGTTCGGCAGTTGCTGCCGCTGAAGAGCCGTCTGCTTCCAACCTTCCGAGCACCTCATCTGTGGATACGAATGGCGGCGGCAGCGGAAGTTCTGCTGCTCCTGCTTCCACATCGGCAACCTCCTCAACTTCGGGTGAAGTTCAGGCAGCAGCAGCAGCAGCGAATGCCAACAATTCAGCAACCTCTTCGGGAGTTTCTGTAGGAGGAGGTGATGTCAGTACCTCCTCTTCCACCTCCACCTCGACCACCTCCTCCTCGAAGAAGTGCCCCTTTGCCGTCTTCATCGCCGCCGGCCCGGGCCAATTTCACCCGCTTCCGGGCGACTGGAGCCTGACGGCGGTCAGCGACAAGTACTGGAAGGTCAATCGGCCGCTGGAGCTCTTCTACGCCTACAAGATGGCCAGTACCAAGCTGGCGGACCCGCCAGCAGGCGCCTCGGCGAGGTGGTAAACGCCCGCGCTGATTTAGTTAATAACTCCATTTTGAAACGTGAAAATCTCTCTCTCTCTCTCTCTCTCTCTCTCACACACACACACAAACCCCCACATCTGTTATTGACGATCATAACATTTAATTGTACTGAACTCCCCTTCTTTATCTTTCTACTCTACAGCTGAGTTACTCCTTTTTTTCTTTCCTGTACATTAGTTCTACAAACTTCCTTTGCCTCCTCCCTTTC